ACTCCAAATCAATTCCGAAAACAAACAGTTATTCTGAAACCATTAGCAAACAGATTAGTACAACTATTTAATTGTCAATCGAATTAAATTAAAGAAATCAAAATACAAATAAACAAAAATTATTAAAAACCAAACAATGGATCAAAAATCAAATTAAAACGAATTTGTAATTTTCAATTGCAAAGACAATTAATTAATTGACTATCGGCTTGACTCTCTAAAAAAAAGTCCCCAGCGGAGTCGCCAAGCTGTCGAAACGATTTTTTTCTTGAAGGGTGAAAAAAGGTAAGATTTTAAAAAACCACATTGATTCTTAATTATCTCTTTTTAATTTAAAAACAAATGCAATTTAAAAGACCTCTCGTTTCGAAAAATTTTGAATTTCCCTTACGATCAAAAAATACGGTTCAAAGAGTCGCCACCAATCTTTGATTAGGGTGTGACTGGGCACCCAAAAACATTTTATCATCTTAAATAAAAATTAATTTTAATTAAAACAACAAATTGAGGTCTGCGTTACCAAAAAATGAGTTCGGGAGTCGATTACGTGTGGGGAAGGATTAGCACCCTCACAACGCCCTAAATCGGTACCTGGCCGATTAATTAACGTCTTTGCAATGAACTTTACAAATTCAAATTCAATTTACTTTTTGATATCATAAAACAATGATGTAAATCTAAAAACATTCAAAAGCACTCAAATAAATTAAATTAAAATTACCGAGTCATTTTAGAAAGATAAAGAATGTTCGATTATTTACAAATATCGAGACCAGATCTTAAAAGATATAACAACATTTTCTCGATAAATTTAAATAAACGAACATTTCCTTTTCTCTCGTTCCCATATTTTAGGTGACGAATCAATTTTTTAGGTTTCACTTTCGGGATATACTTTTATTTTAAAATCATTAAAAGCAGACCTCAAATCAGTTATGACTGCCCACTTAAAATAATTTTAAATTAAAAGTATATTACCCTTAATCAAATTATGAAGATATCGAGTTATGAAAATAAGGCTATCATGCAAATTGTAAAAAAAAAATATCATGCTAAAATCAATTAAACAAAAATAAAAACATACAATGTGACACACAAAAATTATACACATGCATTTTAAAACTAAAAGTTATAAATTATGCACATTAACATATTACATATACATGTGACCTAAATATAAAAACAAAATCATAACATGTCAAACTATAAATTTAAAAAAGTGTATATATACATAAATGTAATAATTAAATTTAAATACACATAAAATTAAACATACTAATTAAAAATTAAAACAAAGACTTAAAGAAAAATAAACATAAATATAATGGATTTAAACCTAAATAACTCAAAATTAATAATTAACACCTAAATATTAAAAAACAACAAAATCAAGACAAACAAAAGGCTAAATTCGAAAATAGTACTGAAAGTGACTAATGTGTAAATAAGCGGCAAATGTACAGTGACTTTAAAGCAATTTACCCTAATAACCTAATATAAAACCCTATTTTTAATTAACCTTAATCTAATTTTAAATTAACCTAGCCGCACCTTACTTTCTTCTTCACTCTCTCATCCCTTCTTCTTCGACAAAACCAAGACCCCTCTCCCCATGGCCTTCTTTGCAACGCTCGACCACCATGCTTTGGTGGCCATCTCTCTTCCGAACATAGCTCTCCATCGCCGTCTCTCGTCCTAAAACTCTACACAATCGAGCCTAATAAAGCCGACCATCGTACACAACAACCCGGCGACCACACTAAACCCCAACGCTCACTCCGGCTAGGCCACACGACCAGTTCTCACTATCCATCTCGGCAAAACCAATAGCGATAATTCAAGCGAATAAGGTAAACCGACTAAATCTCTTACCTATTTCCTATTTTTTATTTCTAATGAAAACATAAGGCTATGATTCCTATGGAACTTTTTAGATATATAAAATGTAATTTATTTACTGATTTATTCGGAAAAAAAAATTTGAAAATTGGCGAAGGAAATGCTACTGTACATAATGATAAGAAAATGAACCTTGGAAGAATTTGCTTTGAATTGCCTTGGTTCGTTGAAACAAGTGAATTCTGTTTCCTTTGATATCCAAAATAGAAGTAAATTTCAGTACAATGTTCTTTCTGTTTTTTCTATTTTTTGTCAAAAATCAACCAAATTGAAGGTCTTCCATTCTTTTGCTCTCTGTTTTCCCTGATCGTTTTTTTCTTTTTTTCTCCCCCCTGTTTACAATGCTCTCCTCTTTTCTATCATTTTCCATGGTTGATAGTTTCTAGTGGTTAAAACCCAAATAAAAACTGACACCCACTCTCCATCTAGTGGTTAATTTTAACTGCTAAAACTGACCCCAATTTCTCTCATCTTTAGCATGCTGATGCTGTCCATCGGGTTTGAGATGGATCTCCGTCTGGTTTGGGCTCATCTGGGCTCTCATTGCTTCGGGTCTGCTCCGACTTGGCCCCGGACAGAAACGAGCATCTACAATTACACTAATGTGCTGGATGTCATGATTGATGCTGCATATGTTTCTATGAAGAATTTAAACGTTACCGATGTTGTGGTGCTTGTTACTTAAAGTGGGTGGCCTTCTAAGGGGGACTCGAAAGAGCCTTATGCTAGTAAAGATAATGCATATACCTATAATTCGAATCTTATGAAGCATATCTTAGATCGTAGTGGAACCCCATTTCATCAAGAAATCACTTTCAGTATGTATATATATATGAGTTGTTCAATGAGGACTTGAGGTCACCCCAACATCAGAAGCTAATTGGGGATTGTTTTATTCGAATTCGACCCCAGTGTATTTGCTTCATGTATCAGGAAGTGGGAACCTTTTTGGCAAATGATACAACTAACCAGACCTTTTGTATTGCAATGAATGGAGTTGATTCAAAGACATTGCAGACGGCTCTGGACTGGGCTCGTGGTCCTGGACTGGGCTAAGTCAGTGGTTCATCTTCATGTTTACATTGTCTAAGAAAATGACTCTTCGTGCTTTCAGTCATCTTCTATTATCGCCTTGTATCTTATGAAAGGTTTTATTAGTCTAAATGGAGTCTATCACTGTCTTTAGTTCTCCGTTATCTTTTTTTTTTTACTTTCATTTTCTTAGCACTGATTTCACTGTACCATATTAGAATCTGAGATGTTTTCTCTTTCCTAAATTTGTGCTGTATATTTAGTTATTTACAGGTCACGGGAGCTGTGTATTTCCCGGAAGATGAAACATTTTATTATTTACATCCCTTCCTTGTACATTATAAGTACCTTTAAATCATCATGTAGTTAGAGTAATTTGCATAAGGTTCCTAATAAAGAACTCTTGATTTCTGTTTGCAGTAAGAAGGTAAGCAGTAATAAGACTGGAACAATTTTAAACTCGACAGAAGCAAATGGTGCAGGTGGAAGGTTGAAATTAAACACTTTCCGCAGCAGCCAAATAAGTGCGAGTACTCTAGCATTCTGTATTTTGTTATTCATTCCGTTTGTCACCTCTCGATGAGGAAGAAAATAGAATATGTATATTGTTTGAAAAGGTATCATTGTTTTCGCATTGGATTCATAATAGATCATTTTGTGCAAAGTCAAAAAGAAATCTATGATGATGATGACTAGCAGAAAGTGTGATTAGTCTGCACCATGCAATCAAGCAGGAGAAATGGGATCAGTTTTGGGCACTTTTTATGGCGAAGGTCAAGTGAATCTTTCCTGGTTAAAACAAAAGGAAAAGTTTCTTAGCATTTCTGAACAGTTTGTGTGAGTGGGAGCGAGTTTATTTCTTGGGCCGAGATGAATTCAACCTGATGTTTCCCAGTTCTACAGGAATGGTAGAGGGTGATCCAATGACACCCTTTTTCTAAGAATGATCTGTTGTAATTGTCTTCTTTTCATTACCGACAGAGGACCATAATATTAAGTAGGGGAAGACAATTTTTCGCCAAGGAAAGCATATTTATAAACCCCTTTTAGGCAGTGTCTTTGCATCGCTTGAAATCCTGAAATCGGAATCGGTTGAAAAAACTGGTTGTACCGGTTCATAAGAAGAATAGAAAGCTTAATCTGTTGCACCATGAAATAGCACCCCATTAGCTAGAATGGGCAGTATTGGTACTGGATGGTGCATCATATTAATCTCTTTTATAAAAAATAATCATATAATGCACCATTCGGTAACAGTACCGGCCATTCTAGCTAGTGCGGTGCTATTTCATGGTGCATCTAATTAAAGCACGACAGTCCACTGTAGATCTCGTTCAGCCCACATGTGTTTGCTGTCTGTGGGCCACATGAGTCATCCGCTGGACATTGTACCAAACCAAACCGTAACTCCCCAACGCGGCAAAAGAGGAAATGGTGTTATTATTCTTGTTAAATTTTATCAAAACCAAATGAAAAGTTGTTTATGGATTTTCGGAACTCAATTGCCATCATTGATTACTGATTCTTGTTATGAACTACAGAATCTAGTTAGCTTTCTTTGGCTTGAAAAGAAATCTAATTACTTATCTGATATCTCCTCTGCTGTCTGCCCCATCACAAAATGACTTTCTAATAATGGTGCTTTCCTTTGGCCATACTCTGTTAATTGTGCAGTGCGTGGAAAACTGAAGATGGATCAGAAGTCATTGTTGGAGAATTCGGACAGGGGTCACATGAAAGTTTTAGTTGATTCCAAGCTTGCACGTGATTGTGGTTGACCCGTGTAAAGTGCCTGGGACAGCCTCTACTTAAAGTATTTCCATATGATCACAAGCTTAGATTTGTGTCCATCCCAGTTTTGATGAGCTTTTAGGGGCTAAACTTAAAAAAAAAAAACAAATCTCGAACCGTCAAACATCAAGCCTACACTTCAACTCGAGACCACGTGAAGATTAATAGCCATGATCGAACTGGGGACCATCGTTTCTCTACTTTTGACCGTATTGCGTTGGAACCCAGTGACAGCTAATGCCTATTATGTAAATGCAGTGTAATCCTCTATAAACTATTTATCTTTCTTCCTTTGCATCAACATACAAAACAAAAGCTTTGCTTCTGCCTTCCCTCCATTATAAAAGTAAAAAAGAAGAAGAGGGAAAGACAGATTTAGAGAAAGATACAACAATGTTGCCTTAAAGACTCTACTCTTTCTAGATCTGTGCTTTTGTTATTCAACATTTTGCAAAACAAGGCATTTTTGTTCCCTGTATTCTTTAGTAGAAAAGCAAATGACAGACAGCAAGCTTCTTCTTTGCTGTTTCATTGCGTGCGTTTTGTTTGTTGGCGTCATTGGAGAAAACCCTTATCGGTATTTCACTTGGAAAGTCACGTACGGTGATGTCTACCCTCTCGGCGTTAAGCAACAGGTACCTTTCTCTCTCTTCTGTTTGTTAAAAGTGAGATTCTTTTACCTTCTATAATTTAGCATTTGGGAAATGCTTGATCTTTGTTTTTGTTGAAATGTGATGCAGGGGATCTTAATAAATGGGCAGTTTCCAGGGCCTCACATCGATGCAGTTACTAATGATAACCTTATTATCAGTGTTTATAACTACTTGAATGAACCATTCCTCATCTCTTGGTAAACTTCCTTCTTTCTCTTTTTATTACTTCAGCATTTACAATGAGAACTTTTAGATAGATCGGAGAAAGTATCTCTCCATAATATTAATATTGGTGTATTGCAATGTGAGCATATCCACATTCCTTATCATTGATCCTTTGGAATGGAAGTCCATGTTAGAAATAATGCCAGTGGGGTCGAAAAGGCATGGTCACTTTTGACATCTTGGTTTTCTATTGGTTTAAATCTCACAGGCAATCTCTTAAAAATACACCAACGATATGGTCCGAGCATGGTTAAATGATTAAAAATCTCACTCCTTTTCTGACTAATAATTATTTAAGGATTTAATGGGAATATGCCATTTATATTACAAGCTAACTGGGTATGATAATCTTTTATGTTACTTCAAATTTTCTTTTTCTTAATATTCGTGTTTGATTACAATATATGCTATAATCGGAACTCGCTCTGAATGTTTTTACCACTACCTAACCTATTTAATCTACTAAATATGAATGTATAATTAATTATGGCCTAACTGGTTACAATAAAATATTTAAATGCATGTGCTTGCCTATGCCCTGCTGGCCGTCGAGCATATTTAGGCAGGCCAGCATGAGACCACGGGCTTCGGTCTAGTTCTCATAGCGGGTTAACATCTCTTAACTACGCAACTTCCTTTAATACGTACATGTTGATTGTTGAACATTAAATTAAAGCACGGCGTTTGGCGTCTTTGCAAATTACAAGATGAAGCCGAATGTTTATTGTAACTTAGACCTATATACATTTATCGCCTAAAGGAATCTACATTGAAATGCTCTCTTCTTTTTTGTATCTGATGTCATCTCCTGTTTTTGTTTCCTCAGGAATGGAGTGCGGCAGTGGAGGAACTCATGGCAAGATGGAGCATTAGGCACAAATTGTCCTATTCGACCGGGGAAAAATTTCACTTACGTTCTCCAAATGAAAGATCAGATTGGTACCTTTTTCTACTTCCCATCACTTCTATTCCATAAGGCTGCTGGAGGATATGGTAGCATCAGAATCTGGAGCCGTCCTAAGATCCCGGTACCTTATCCCGCACCCGCTGGGGATTTCGTTGTACTGGCTGGGGACTGGTATAAGAGAAATCACTATGTAAGAAATCTGTATCGTCTTTATTATCCTAGCGGAGCTAATCGATATCCCGCTGCTTCAAATATTCAGAGTAATTGATCTTTGTTTCTTCAGGTATTGAGACGTTTCTTGGACAGTGGTCATAACCTTCCCTTCCCTGACGGGCTTATTATTAATGGTCGAGGGTGGAATGGATACACATTCCAGGTTGATCCGGGTAGGACATACAGGTTTAGGGTATCGAATGTTGGGATCGCAACTTCAATTAACTTTAGGATCCAGGGGCACAAGCTGAAGCTCATAGAAGTAGAAGGGTCTCATACAATTCAGAACACCTACAGTTCTTTCGATATCCATCTCGGGCAGTCATGCTCTTTCTTGGTCACTGCTGATCAGGTGCCGCAGGATTACTATGTCATTGTCTCTTCCCGGTTCACTCGTCGTGTGCTCACAACAACTGCCATTCTTCACTATAGCAATTCTAAAAAGGGAGTTTCTGGTCCAGTTCCTGGGGCTCCCACAGTTCAAATTGCTCCATCAGTCATGCAGGCGAGATCCATACGGTATGTCCTTTTTGGAAGCTATAATATAATCTAAAAACATTTCGCTGATGAGTTTTTTCCATTCTACCAGACGGAATCTGACAGCGAGTGGACCGAGACCTAATCCCCAAGGCTCCTACCACTATGGAATGATTACCCCAAGCCGCACCATCATGGTTGCAAACTCCGCTCCTTATATTAATGGAAAGCAGAGGTATGCTGTCAATGGTGTCTCATATGTTCCACCAGATACTCCATTAAAACTAGCAGATTACTTCAAGATTCCGGGAGTCTTCAACCTCGGAAGCATTCCTACCTGGCCTCCTTCAGGAAACAATGCCTATTTTCAGACTTCTGTCATGGCAGCCAACTTCCGAGAATATGTTGAAATTGTATTTCAAAACTGGGAGGACACCGTGCAGTCATGGCATTTAGACGGTTATTCCTTCTTTGTCGTAGGGTAAAGTTCTTTTTAATACTTGTTCTCTAGGTTCAAGTTTCTATGTATGGCCAAACGCGTTAAAAAATATGTTGGATGAATCAGGATGGAAGGAGGCCAATGGACGCCTGCCAGTAGAAAAGCGTACAACTTGAGAGACACGGTATCCCGCTGCACTACTCAGGTATGCAAATGTAGTATATAGATAGTTTTGTTTCCATCGATCTGGTTGAAACACGATGAATTGTTGATATGTTCGAGTGCAGGTGTATCCAAGGTCATGGACCGCCATCTACGTGGCTCTGGACAACGTGGGGATGTGGAATATAAGGTCTGATAACTGGGCCAGGCAATATTTAGGGCAGCAGTTTTACCTCAGGGTTTACTCGCCGGCAAATTCATGGAGAGATGAATTACCGATCCCAAGGAATGCTCTTCTCTGTGGCCGGGCCAAAGGGCGCCACACGAGGCCTTTTTAGATTAGCAAAACTGGAAGGAATGACAATGTCATGAAGGGGTGACATGAGATATGATGAACAAAATTTAAGTTATTAACAGCGGGAGCTCAGCTTGAGCTTTTCCAGTCAATTCTTTGTTTGCTTTGAGTATTTCCATGTTTCTGTGAGATCATTATCGAATTGTAAGCCTTGTACTCCTAGGACTTTCTCATTTCGGCCTTCAACTTTCAGATTCCCCAGTCGATTATTTTCCCGGAAAACATTAGAATTGTTGAATATTCTTCAATGATGCATTTTTCTATTTCAACTCCAATGTTTCTTCCTTTTTTTATATTAAATGAAATAAGAGAAAGCGACTATTTTTACGTCTATATGTAAAATTTTGGTGACGTAAAAAACACATGTTTGGTCCCTATACTATTGAAAAAAAAGCAGGCTAAATTTCACTATATTTTATTTTGACTTTAAACCCTAGCCGCTATATTCTTCCTCATTTTTTTTTTTCTTCTTTTCAACATGTATGAATTTTATTGATCAATTAATTTTTTCTTTAATTTTATTTAACTTGTGATGACACCTGTTTTAATGGTAGTTGTCACTTGTCGATTATCTTTTTTCTTATTTTTTTTAATAAGTATAATTATGTCTTTGTGACATGTTCTCTGTTTTTGTCACATCTCTGTCTCTGTAGTATGTTTTTCTCTTCCTTTTGATAGCTTACGATTTTTTATCATTATTTATGATTTTTTGCCGTTGTTTTTGTTTATCTTTTTTTCTCAGGGTTGGATTTGATATCTATACGACTGATCAAGATGACGCTTATTTGTTATCATGATGATTTTTCCTGCTTTGGACCATCGGATTGATTTGGATACGCGTTTTGAGTTCGTGGATAGTTTTATCACGTCCCTTGACTCTGATTTGCGATTAGTCGGGGGTCTTTCAATAAATTTATCCCCTTTTATGGTTCGTTTACCGATGCAATCAGATTTGTTTATATCTTTATTTTATTTGAGTTTTTTTTTGTTAAGTTTTTTAATTTTTTTCTTCTTTGATCCTTATGTGGTCTAGGTGACTAGTTTTTGTTTAAATGGTAATAAAAAAATATTATAATTATATTTTAGGTTTACGTGTTGACTGTAAATATTTATTGTACTTTTGAATATTTTTTTATTTTTAATAAAACTAAAGATTTTCTTTTAAAAAATATTTTATTTTGACTTTTGTTTTATGTCATTGCTTTGAAAATATGGGTAGATTTAGGCAATATTATCAAAACAATACCGATTTCATTTTTTAAAATCTAATGGCACTCAAACTAAATTAATTCTTAAACTAACACTTTTTTTATCACATAGAGAGAGGGTCTAAATGGTGAGTTTTTTTAACCAAATATCACCCCAAAATAATAACATGCCAAAATAACATCTTTAGTCCAATATATACTGAAATAACACCCTTTCTAACAACGAGGTAAGAAGGCACGTTGTGGGAAACACGCTTTATCAATGTAACACCGACATGAAAAAAAGGCACGTTGTACAGGCGCGTCTTCTACTAATGTGGCAACCTGCTTGATAAGCGCGTTGTAAAGGGCGCACCTTCTGCTAATGTGACAACCTACCCGGTAAGCGCTTTGTACAGAACACACCTTCCCTCATTCTCCAATAAACACGCTTCCTTTCAAATTCCTTCTTTTGAGTTTTGGCCATGAAAAACTATGTGAGAGTTTAAGGTGGATTTTGGATTTTAGGGTTCCTTAGTACTCTAATACATTTTTAGAGATGTGAGAGAGTGCTCGGCTTTCCCCCTCTTTCTTTGCCCGATAACATCACCAAAATTGAATGAGAAATAGCCTTTGACACAAAGGAGGGGTTATTTGCTCTATTAGTCCTCCTATTTCCAAGCCCAAATTAAAAACACCTATTTTAAGTCCTAATGGGCTCAAGACCAAACCGAAGCAAGCTCAATCTAACCTAATTTTTCTCGAATAGTCTTTTGAGACTAATAAAAGCCCCCTCCAATTTACCTGAAACTACTAACACTTAAATCGGGACATTACAAAAAAAGTGATTTGTAGCCAAGCTCAATCTTAGTATTATGAATAAACACTTCCAATATACAATCATTTTCCTAATTGATAAAAATTTCATACATTAAAAATTGAAATATTCAATAAAATATTAAATATTTAAATAAACATAATTAAATATTTTTACCATATTTACAAAATGAGACGAAATGTGTTTTTCATCCAATTACAACATGCCTTCCATTTTTTAACTTACACAAAATTATGAAAAATTAGTAATTAAAATAAACTAATAAAATAAAAAATATTAAATAAATATATTAAAATTAAAAAAAAACTATTTATATCTTGAACTTTAAATCGAACGTTTTGAACCCAATAGAAAGAGGGGAAAGGGGCGAGAAACAGAGGACGGGAAGGGGAAGACGTACTCCCCAGGAAGTGCTTCCTAGCTAGCACACGAAAATCCATGGAGCTGGACCGCCATATCAACCTGAGGCGCTCTCCTCATGATGCGCTTTCCAGCCACTTAGGTAAAATTCGTTTGGTCAAACGTACACCTTCTTTCCATATTGTCATAAAGGATACTATTTTGATATATATTAGACTAAAGGTTCTATTTTGGTACATTATTATTTTTTGAGTGATATTTGGATAAAAAACGAAATGGTGACGCCTTACCAAAAGCACTTTTTGTACTGATAGTGCCTTTGCTCAACATACCCTTTCGCTATTTCTAGTGGATATAGCTAGATTAGTTTTGATGACAAGTCTAGTAAATTGAAGAAAACCAAGTCCACCAGGAAATCAAATTGAAATGTGCAATGTACGTATTGGTTAAATGGATCGTGCAAAGTTAATTTGGTTAGGTTGCAACTTGCAATTAGGTATACGTTACCGTATGGAGTAAACTATATTAATGGTTATTAATGTTTGAGTAAATTTTTATTTTTCTCACTAAAGTTTTAAAAGTAACAAATCAATCACTAACAATATCGATTTATAACAAAATGGTCACTAACGTTATCAATTTGTAACAAAATGGTCACTCAACCGTCATCTCCGTTAAATTGATGACATGAAAAAGTTAGCAAAAAATTAATATTTCATTTTAGCCCTAAACTAGTACTAAAATATTAAATAGGTCATCGAACAATGATTTTATATCTAATTTACCCCAAATTTTTTTATAATTTCCATTTTTTTTAAAACACCCTATTACCTTCACTATATTCGAACCACGTTCCTTGCAACAAAAAAAATCACACTTAAACAATCAAGAACACTTTTCTTTGTATTTGTTTCAACCACACTTACAAAACCTAAAAGTCTATAAAATTATCTTCAGTCGCAATACCAATCTTCAAAACTTAGTGTTTTTGTTCTTATCTTGCAACGTTGTGTTGGAGTAAAGTACTTACTGGTGTGCTCTATTCTCTCTTTAGCATTTGATTTTTCATTTGTGGGTTACTAGTTGTCTAAAAATATATAATTAGACAGAAAAAAAGAATGGCTCACTCTTTTTTTTCGCAACAAAAGAGAAAACAACTAATTGTCTAAATATAGAAGTTTTGTTTAAGTGTGATTAAAAAAATACCAATGAAACTACTCCTAATTGTTTAAGTGTGGTTTTCGTTTTGTAAGGAATGTGGTCTGAATATAATAGAGGTGGTGGGGTGTTTGGAAGAAAAATGAAGCGAATATATCATCACTCACCAGTAGAAGGGAGAGTGTTATTCACAAAGACAAATATTGCTTTCTCCGCACTGAGCTTGATCCTTTTACGGACAACATGAACAAATTGGCCCACGGTCGAATCAGCAGGAACAAGATACCTGAAGCCACAATCAAAGGTTATCCGGGCATGTTTTGCAAATAGCAGACCGAATAAACTCCAAGGGAAGATGCAACTAACTTCTTTTGATCAAGATCAGGAACGTCGCTCTTTACAGCCTTCTAAACAATAATCTGCATGGTTTCCCATAAGCAAAGATGAATATTAAAAGAACAATGCAGGATAAAAAAAATGTTCAAAAGAAACGAAGCAGTAGCAAAAAATTCTCACGGGAATTCTATCGGGATACTTCGACCTGATGCGAGCAACTTCATCCTGCCTCTTTTCTAAAAAAAAAATAGGAAATTTAGAAAAGGATGACCGAGTGTATAAAGAACATTCCATTAGCTTAATCAGATTAGAAAATAAGGGGGACGGAGAGAAAAGAGAATGAAAAAGAAAGAAATGTCCTTTGCTAAGTAATTCTGAGAATAGTGCTTCAGAAGGGCCCCTCAAGAAAAGAGAACAGAGTCTTTGAATAAATAATGAAATAACGACATAGAAATGCAAAGCAACGATGCAGCAGAACATGGAAATGGATTACAGACAAACATAAGCAACCGTGTAGGAAACAGACAACTTGCATGGTCTGCTGTCTTTAGCATTGTACCCTTTTAACCAAGAGCATATTAATTTTTCCAAGAAAGGAAACAAATTTATACGAATATCCGTATACTGAAATGATGTAAAGTCTCATCAATTTGAGAAAGAGACGACCCCGATTGAACCAAGGTTCAATAAGCAATCAAGTCTAAACAGTCGAGAAAAAAAATCAGATAATCCCCTAAAAGTAGAAACGAAGAACACCCAAATTAAATTTTAATACAACAATGCAACCAAGCATATTTTTCAACAAAATTCTTATACGAAAAATGAAGATACAGAGAGACCAGGAGAAAAACGATCAACGAAACTAACCCAATGGATGCTCAAGCTTGAAGGAACTTTTCGCCATTGCAAACACGACCCTGATTATCCCCTGCGAATTTTTAAAATTGAAACATCGCCAAAAAATAATTAATATTTTTTCCCTCTAAATTAGAGAGAAAGCAAAAGGAGATAACATATCAAAGTAAAAACTTCGACCAAAAAATAACATAGGAAAAAAAAACAATACCAGACAAGAAACAAGGAAGAAGCTTTGAGAAATTAGGGTTTCAATTAAAGAACACTTGACTGAGAAGAAAGGGTCGATCATGACATTGGTCGGATTAGATCGGATTTTTTATCTACTCGACTTGATCCGAGAAGAACCGAAATCTAACCCGACTCGCATGATATATACCCATCATCCAACCTAAATTAACCCGACTTTTTGAAATAAAATCAAACCCAACCCAAAATAATAAAAAATATTATTTTTATTTAATAAAAATAATGATTTAATTGAAAAAAAATAATATATAGAGGGATATTATTGTAATTATTCTTAAATATATAAGGTAAAATTATATTTTTTTCCCGAGTCGGGTCGAATTTTTTCACCATAATCTCGAATCTGACTCGACCCGAACATAACTTTTAAAAAAATCCGATCCGACTCGAACCAAACCCAAAATCTTTACAAAAAACCCGACCCGATCGGATCGAGTCAGGTCAAAACCCTACTACTAGAATTTTATTGATTTTTCAGTATTCCTCCCGATTAGATTGCCTCCGGTACAAGGAATCTAATGCGTGCCCTGCTTTGGGCAGCATCTGAAAGGAAGACGAAGTCGATTTTATGCTTTTGCTTGAAGACGGACTCCAGTGGGCTGCCATGAACAGTAAAATAGGCTGATTTGTTGCTCTAGTTTGATAGATTGTTACCTCATATATTAATATATTTTAAAACATTTGGAAACAGATATCTTTAAATATGTTGTGATAATTATCTATTAAAATCTATATATATACAAGTTTAAAATGTTCTTGAATTGGTGACTCTTACAATGTGTAATACTTTTTAATATTAAAATTTATAAATATTTTTTAAAAACGATATTTTTCAAAATTATTAATCACATAAAATATATGTTTAAATATTCTCTTTTACAATTAAATTCACTCAATAAATTTAAAAATTTCAGAGTTATTCTTGATTAACCGTTGGTAAAATGTCTTGGCCATTGGTAAAACTCATAGTTTGGTTATATCAAACTCTTTCAATTAGATGTTTTAAATGTTGAGGAATATATGTGGAACCATTGCTTGAGGTTAAAATCTTGAAATCAAACACCAAAGGATTTGTAGCTTAAAAAGCTTTTTAAATTATTAATGTACTAATGATTTTAAAGTTTTTCCTTTTCTCATCAACCACACATGCACCAAAACTAGTAATTTGAAAGGTTGAACGCCACATGATGTGTAGGTTGAATTTTTGTTAATTATGAATGTACTACCAATATAAAAGCTTTTCCTTTTCTTATCGACCGCACTTGCATCAAACATGCATCAAACCAAGAAAGTTTGCGATGTATTCTATACGTAAACCAGAAGTGACACTTTTGTCTGTAAAAAAAATGAAATGAAGCTCTTGTCTTGAATAAAGATTAAACCCTTTTTTTTCTGTGGTTCTTAAGAAGAGTTCTGATGCCACGCATGTAGTGCTGCAATATCTACCTACACATAATAAAAGGAGCAAACCACAGAAAGAAAAATAGCTAATTAGCCAGCCTTTGCAGTGAAATCTTGCAGATCTCTTCTGTATATGCAAATACAGTTCCTTCGAGAGAAGAAAGAGATGCATAGTAGTCAATGTAGCTAGGAGTGCTTGCATTAAGTACTATAAAGGAGAGGGTCCGACAGAGAAACTGGTCCCGTTAAGGAAACTCCATTGAAGAACCTTCCGATGGGTCTATACTGCGAATAATCTCAACCATCGTCTTGTTGCAAAAAATGGGTCAGTGCCACTCTAGGGCATCGTCAACAGGAGAAGATCACGAAGAAGAAGAAGTGCGTTGTGAGGAGGAGAACGAGGACACGTCAAGCAGGAAGAAAGGGTGCTTATCCATGGCTAAGGAACAAAGGTCGAGGTTTTACATATTAAGGAGGTGCGTTATCATGTTACTGTGTTGGCAGAAGTACGGTAAACATTGACTAATTTCCCCCTCACATTTTCTCTTCACCCAATCTCTCTCTGTGTGGCTTACACAGTTTGTGTATTAACCGTCCTTGCATAAATTTGTGCCGTGATCTTCAAGTATCAATAATGTAAAAGCAGTCTACTGCAACTTTATCAATTCCATATAGATCATTGTCAAAATGATGGCTTCTCTAATAAACCACTCGTTCTCTCCGCTTCTTTATCTACAATTTGAGATTAAGTTGTTGATTAATTATGGTTACAGAGAGACTGATCATAGATGCTTACCTATGTCTTGAATAGATGTTGCCATGAAAGCCAACAGACCTGTTAAAAATTGGGGGGAAATGAAAAGATAGTAACAGAGTATAGGACCCAGGGTTTTTCTAGTGGGGAGGACAAGTAAGGAGAGAGATACGAGTATGTTGCAGTGATAGAGAGCACATTTGCAGAGTTTTCACGTGAAAATAGTTGGCAAAAGTGGGGCTGTACTCTTTTCTTTTAGCTGTAAAAGGTGAGGGAGAGATGCAGACATCAATTCACATGAGGAGAGGGACAGATCATTGAGGGGATTGTAGATAGATACAGGTTTCCTCTTGGTAGGACTGGTTGGCGATCCATAACAAATCTGTTATTTGGCTTATTATCTTTTACTATTGCAGTTTGCCTCTCCTTTCTATAGGTTAGTGTTATAATATGTAAATGGAAAAAAAATCAAATAATAAGACAAGGACAGGAGACGAGATTTAACGTGATTCGACATTACCTATCTCTACGGGCGAGATGAATAATAATCCATTGTAGATGTGAAAAACACGAAAAGAACAAATACATGATATCACATGTATCCAAAAACCCGGTATAAATACCAAAACCTTGTGTGTATCTCAAAAACTCTCTCAATCCCTACAAAACTATCTCGGTAACATAAACCCCAAAAGTTACTGAGATCCCAAAAAAATTGCATCTCTCCAAAATAATTCTCTTTCACTAATTAGGTTAATACATTATCTCTATTTATAAAGTCAAATACTTGATCACCAAGAGTTATTAATCTATAAGAATTATTGCCTAAAACAATTACAATAAAATATAACTTAATTACCAATTATAATTTGAGTCAAAATATATCGGTTAGATTCCCCCAAACTTCTTTTTAGCTAATTTCCCAGCTATTTCTCAATTTTGGGTAAAAACAGAAGTGCAATAACTCCACTAATTCCATTGCTTCATAATTCAACAAGACATTATTTATTAGCAAAATAATAACTGCATTTTTATGTGGGATCCTTTAAGTGGCGGTAGCCAACTCAATGCATCATATGGAATTGGAAAACAGAAGCTTAGTTATATCTTAGATGTGGTATTAGTGCTATATATATTCACAATCATTCCTTAGTTATTTGATACATTTATCTGTTGATGTAAGATATTGTACAACTTCTTAAACCATTATTGATTATGGTGAAGATATAGAGTTATCCATACATTTTACATTAAGAGTAAACTAGAACGACATCTTACAGTGGTGTCTTATCTTTTTCATCAACCGACATGGAACTTAGGAAGAATATAAGGGAGATGTTCCAATGATATAAACCTGTAATTAAATTGATTTTATTGAATAGGAAGCAGCAATATGCTGTCCACAAAGATTAGTCATATAGATCTCATCACCATGGTAGAAAACTTATTAATCCAGCCCTCCACCATTCAAAGAATGAGGTTGAGGCAGCTGTATTGGGGTCGGTATCCTCAGAGGTAGAGGGGTACCCCAGAAGCAAAAAGCAAGGGGTATCTCTAATGTTTTTCTATGGTATAATATACTCTTTACACCTATGGATGCAAATATAAATGTGGGGAAAGGGGAGAAAATTATAGAAAGGGTGACAAAAGCATCTCTGTGCCAGTTCTCCCCATGTATATTTTTCCTCAGGAATAAGTTTTTGTTCCTTGCGTGAAGTTCGTGCTCCATAAAGCATTCTTGTCCTCACCACAACGTTCATGAACCTCCGTAATCCTCTCCACGGACCTGCAAATACCACTGCACCTCCAGTCGAATGAAGCAACACAGATATTACCAGCTTGAGCTTTCCATTCACAATCTGTTCATAAAATGTTTGAAGTTAATTCTTTAATGCTAGTTGAGCAATATGCCACCGATTGAATGTCACACAAACATAATAATAATAGATGCCAATATCTGGCCTCGGATAGGTTCATGCCAATATCTGGCCTCGGATAGGTTCATGCCAATATTGACCAGAGGTTGGAATATCGACATCACAGATCCCATTTATATGCTCAGAGTTCACTCATCATACTTCTCATTTATGACATATTTGGCCAAAACTTCATTTTGTAAACTAAAACAGGCATCCAAGGATGGCCAAAAATAAACTATCCAGCAAGGAAAGTAAAGCTCCCATACCTGGGTGAGTACCACAGCAGTCTCTCCTGTCATCCACATGCTCCACATCTAAACCGATAAACCAAGCTCCCAACGATACATCTTCATTAACATATTTATGCGGTACATTCCTGAGATGGAGCATAGCTATTATCGCCGGAGGCAATAACAAAGGTTTGAAACTTATTGAAGTATCTGAAATTAGAGCTTTAAATTTACATGTGCAAACTTATAATATACACGATGGCCTGTCACATGCAACTAACTTCTTTTGATCAAGATCAGGAACGTCGCTCTTTACAGCCTTCTAAACAATAATCTGCATGGTTTCCCATAAGCAAAGATGAATATTAAAAGAACAATGCAGGATAAAAAAAATGTTCAAAAGAAACGAAGCAGTAGCAAAAAATTCTCACGGGAATTCTATCGGGATACTTCGACCTGATGCGAGCAACTTCATCCTGCCTCTTTTCTAAAAAAAAAATAGGAAATTTAGAAAAGGATGACCGAGTGTATAAAGAACATTCCATTAGCTTAATCAGATTAGAAAATAAGGGGGACGGAGAGAAAAGAGAATGAAAAAGAAAGAAATGTCCTTTGCTAAGTAATTCTGAGAATAGTGCTTCAGAAGGGCCCCTCAAGAAAAGAGAACAGAGTCTTTGAATAAATAATGAAATAACGACATAGAAATGCAAAGCAACGATGCAGCAGAACATGGAAATGGATTACAGACAAACATAAGCAACCGTGTAGGAAACAGACAACTTGCATGGTCTGCTGTCTTTAGCATTGTACCCTTTTAACCAAGAGCATATTAATTTTTCCAAGAAAGGAAACAAATTTATACGAATATCCGTATACTGAAATGATGTAAAGTCTCATCAATTTGAGAAAGAGACGACCCCGATTGAACCAAGGTTCAATAAGCAATCAAGTCTAAACAGTCGAGAAAAAAAAATCAGATAATCCCCTAAAAGTAGAAACGAAGAACACCCAAATTAAATTTTAATACAACAATGCAACCAAGCATATTTTTCAACAAAATTCTTATACGAAAAATGAAGATACAGAGAGACCAGGAGAAAAACGATCAACGAAACTAACCCAATGGATGCTCAAGCTTGAAGGAACTTTTCGCCATTGCAAACACGACCCTGATTATCCCCTGCGAATTTTTAAAATTGAAACATCGCCAAAAAATAATTAATATTTTTTCCCTCTAAATTAGAGAGAAAGCAAAAGGAGATAACATATCAAAGTAAAAACTTCGACCAAAAAATAACATAGGAAAAAAAAACAATACCAGACAAGAAACAAGGAAGAAGCTTTGAGAAATTAGGGTTTCAATTAAAGAACACTTGACTGAGAAGAAAGGGTCGATCATGACATTGGTCGGATTAGATCGGATTTTTTATCTACTCGACTTGACCCAAGAAGAATGACTCTTCCTCCCGAAATCTAACCCGACTATATACCCATCATTCAACCTAAACCAAATCGACTTTTTAAAATAAAATCAAACCCAACCTAAAATAATAAAAAATATTATTTTTATTTAATAAAAATAATGATTTAATTGAAAAAAATAATATATAGAGAGATATTATTGTAATTATTCTTAAATATATAAGGTAAAATTATATTTTTTTCTCGAGTCGGGTCGAATTTTTTCACCATAATCTCGAATCTGACTCGACCCGAACATAACTTTTAAAAAAATCCGATCCGACTCGAACCAAACCCAAAATCTTTACAAAAAACCCGACCCGATCGGATCGAGTCAGGTCAAAACCCTACTACTAGAATTTTATTGATTTTTCAGTATTCCTCCCGATTAGATTGCCTCCGGTACAAGGAATCTAATGCGTGCCCTGCTTTGGGTAGCATCTGAAAGGAAGACGAAGTCGATTTTATGCTTTTGCTTGAAGACGGACTCCAGTGGGCTGCCATGAACAGTAAAATAGGCTGATTTGTTGCTCTAGTTTGATAGATTTTTACCTCATATATTAATATATTTTAAAACATTTGGAAACAGATATCTTTAAATATGTTGTGATAATTATCTATTAAAATCTATATATATACAAGTTTAAAATGTTCTTGAATTGGTGACTCTTATAATGTGTAATACTTTTTAATATTAAAATTTATAAATATTTTTTAAAAACGATATTTTTCAAAATTATTAATCACATAAAATATATGTTTAAATATTCTCTTTTACAATTAAATTCACTCAATAAATTTAAAAATTTCAGAGTTATTCTTGATTAACCGTTGGTAAAATGTCTTGGCCATTGGTAAAACTCATAGTTTGGTTATATCAAACTCTTTCAATTAGATGTTTTAAATGTTGAGGAATATATGTGGAACCATTGCTTGAGGTTAAAATCTTGAAATCAAACACCAAAGGATTTGTAGCTTAAAAAGCTTTTTAAATTATTAATGTACTAATGATTTTAAAGTTTTTCCTTTTCTCATCAACCACACATGCACCAAAACTAGTAATTTGAAAGGTTGAACGCCACATGATGTGTAGGTTGAATTTTTGTTAATTATGAATGTACTACCAATATAAAAGCTTTTCCTTTTCTTATCGACCGCACTTGCATCAAACATGCATCAAACATGCATCAAACCAAGAAAGGTTTCGATGTATTCTATACGTAAACCAGAAGTGACACTTTTGTCTGTAAAAAAAATGAAATGAAGCTTTTGTCTTGAATAAAGATTAAACCCTTTTTTTTCTGTGGTTCTTAAGAAGAGTTCTGATGCCACGCATGTAGTGCTGCAATATCTACCTACACATAATAAAAGGAGCAAACCACAAAGAAAGAAAAATAGCTAATTAGCCAGCCTTTGCAGTGAAATCTTGCAGATCTCTTCTGTATATGCAAATTCAGTTCCTTCGAGAGAAGAAAGAGATGCATAGTAGTCAATGTAGCTAGGAGTGCTTGCATTAAGTACTATAAAGGAGAGGGTCCAACAGAGAAACTGGTCCCGTTAAGGAAACTCCATTGAAGAACCTTCCGATGGGTCTATACTGCGAATAATCTCAACCATCGTCTTGTTGCAAAAAATGGGTCAGTGCCACTCTAGGGCATCGTCAACAGGAGAAGATCACGAAGAAGAAGAAGTGCGTTGTGAGGAGGAGAACGAGGACACGTCAAGCAGGAAGAAAGGGTGCTTATCCATGGCTAAGGAACAAAGGTCGAGGTTTTACATATTAAGGAGGTGCGTTATCATGTTACTGTGTTGGCAGAAGTACGGTAAACATTGACTAATTCCCCCCTCACATTTTCTCTTCACCCAATCTCTCTCTGTGTGGCTTACACAGTTTGTGTATTAACCGTCCTTGCATAAATTTGTGCCGTGATCTTCAAGTATCAATAATGTAAAAGCAGTCTACTGCAACTTTATCAATTCCATATAGATCATTGTCAAAATGATGGCTTCTCTAATAAACCACTCGTTCTCTCCGCTTCTTTATCTACAATTTGAGATTAAGTTGTTGATTAATTATGGTTACAGAGAGACTGATCATAGATGCTTACCTATGTCTTGAATAGATGTTGCCATGAAAGCCAACAGACCTGTTAAAAATTGGGGGGAAATGAAAAGATAGTAACAGAGTATAGGACCCAGGGTTTTTCTAGTGGGGAGGACAAGTAAGGAGAGAGATACGAGTATGTTGCAGTGATAGAGAGCACATTTGCAGAGTTTTCACGTGAAAATAGTTGGCAAAAGTGGGGCTGTACTCTTTTCTTTTAGCTGTAAAAGGTGAGGGAGAGATGCAGACATCAATTCACATGAGGAGAGGGACAGATCATTGAGGGGATTGTAGATAGATACAGGTTTCCTCTTGGTAGGACTGGTTGGCGATCCATAACAAATCTGTTATTTGGCTTATTATCTTTTACTATTGCAGTTTGCCTCTCCTTTCTATAGGTTAGTGTTATAATATGTAAATGGAAAAAAAAAATCAAAGAATAAGACAAGGACAGGAGACGAGATTTAACGTGATTCGACATTACCTATCTCTACGGGCGAGATGAATAATAATTCACTATAGATGTGGAAAACACGAAAAGAACAAATACATGATATCACATGTATCCCAAAACCCGGTATAAATACCAAAACCTTGTGTGTATCTCAAAAACTCTCTCAATCCCTACAAAACTATCTCGGTAATATAAACCCCAAAAGTTACTGGGATCCCAAAAAAATTACATCTCTCCAAAATAATTCTCTTTCACTAATTAGGTTAATATATTATTTCTATTTATAAAGTCAAATACTTGATCAACAAGAGTTATTAAACTATAAGAATTATTGCCTAAAACAATTACAATAAAATATAACTTAATTACCAATTATAATTTGAGTCAAAATATATCTGTTAGATTCCCCCAAACTTCTTTTTAGCTAATTTCCCAGCTATTTCTCAATTTTGGGTAAAAACAGAAGTGCAATAACTCCACTAATTCCGTTGCTTCATAATTCAACAAGACATTATTTATTAGCAAAATAATAACTGCATTTTTATGTGGGATCCTTTAAGTGGCGGTAGCCAACTCAATGCATCATATGGAATTGGAAAACAGAAGCTTAGTTATATCTTAGATGTGGTATTAGTGCTATATATATTCACAATCATTCCTCAGTTATTTGATACATTTATCTGTTGATGTAAGATATTTTACAACTTCTTAAACCATTATTGATTATGGTGAAGATATAGAGTTATCCATACATTTTACATTAAGAGTAAACTAGAACGACATCTTACAGTGATGTCTTATCTTTTTCATCAACCGACATGGAACTTAGGAAGAATATAAGGGAGATGTTCCAATGATATAAACCTGTAATTAAATTGATTTTATTGAATAGGAAGCAGCAATATGCTGTCCACAAAGATTAGTCATATAGATCTCATCACCATGGTAGAAAACTTATTAATCCAGCCCTCCACCATTCAAAGAATGAGGTTGAGGCAGCTGTATTGGGGTCGGTATCCTCAGAGGTAGAGGGGTACCCCAGAAGCAAAAAGCAAGGGGTATCTCTAATGTTTTTCTATGGTATAATATACTCTTTACACCTATGGATGCAAATATAAATGTGGGGAAAGGGGAGAAAATTATAGAAAGGGTGACAAAAGCATCTCTGTGCCAGTTCTCCCCATGTATATTTTTCCTCAGGAATAAGTTTTTGTTCCTTGCGTGAAGTTCGTGCTCCATAAAGCATTCTTGTCCTCACCACAACGTTCATGAACCTCCGTAATCCTCTCCACGGACCTGCAAATACCACTGCACCTCCAGTCGAATGAAGCAACACAGATATTACCAGCTTGAGCTTTCCATTCACAATCTGTTCATAAAATGTTTGAAGTTAATTCTTTAATGCTAGTTGAGCAATATGCCACCGATTGAATGTCACACAAACATAATAATAATAGATGCCAATATCTGGCCTCGGATAGGTTCATGCCAATATTGACCAGAGGTTGGAATATCGACATCACAGATCCCATTTATATGCTCAGAGTTCACTCATCATACTTCTCATTTATGACATATTTGGCCAAAACTTCATTTTGTAAACTAAAACAGGCATCCAAGGATGGCCAAAAATAAACTATCCAGCAAGGAAAGTAAAGCTCCCATACCTGGGTGAGTACCACAGCAGTCTCTCCTGTCATCCACATGCTCCACATCTAAACCGATAAACCAAGCTCCCAACGATACATCTTCATTAACATATTTATGCGGTACATTCCTGAGATTGAGCATAGCTATTATCGCCGGAGGCAATAACAAAGGTTTGAAACTTATTGAAGTATCTGAAATTAGAGCTTTAAATTTTACATGTGCAAACTTATAATATACACGATGGCCTGTCACATGCAACTTGAACTAAAGCCTCTTTGGTCTAGTTGCTAGTTCATTAACTGGATAGACAAGCTTCCAGTTAGTTGAACTGCAGCATTAACTCATCGATGATAATAGGCTTGAAACCAAAACAATGAGAAAAGACGTGTAGGAACTCACTGATTTATCAATATGTAAGTGGCCAAATCTTTCGATATAGCGTACAGTTGTCCGGTAGCATGTCGGAAATATTTGTTTCCAACCTCAACCTCGCCAAATTTCCAGTACTCAGGTTCATGGTATTTCACTCCCCTATTAAATAAAGATCATACATACGACAACCAGATATTTCGGATATTTTCAACATCTTAAATATAAACTAATCTGGAAAGCACAGTAACTCAGCTTACTTTCGAGCAAGAACAGGGCCAGACTTCATGCAACCAACACAAACTCGGGGTTTCTTTCTATGTCCAGCTAAAGTCATACCAAGTGTTGCTGCAACCATACAAACTCATTTATGAAGGGGTGGAATAAATTTATTAAAAAGTGTAGCTATGCAATTAATCATAGATCTATAACTTTGAAGCAGAAAATCGTCGTAACTTTTTTGAAGCACGAGCAAAAGGTTTCATTTCCTTTAGATGTTTCTTGGTATGGTGTACACAACCTTTTTCCCTTCATTAACAACTATGATCATCATATTCTTATCCCCAAAATTAGTAACCCTAAATCCATGAAGAATTTCTGCCCTATTAGCCTGTGTACTGTTCTGTCAATCACCTTAAACTTGTCATGGCTAAATGTATAGCCCTTAATCAATGTGTTTTCGTAATTGGAAGAAGGATCTCTGATAATTTTTTTGGTGGCACATGAGCTTTTTCACTATCTAAAGGGCTTCAAAAATGGTCTAAACAAGGGAGCAGCCATTAAGTTAGATATGGGAAAAGCTTATAACAGAGTGAAATGGGACTTTGTTTTTAATATCACGAGGCAAATGGGGTTCTATGAAGACTTTGTGCAGATCATTTACAGATGCATTTCAACTATCTCTTTCCAACTAAGAATAAATGGTCGGATGTCTAGCAGCTTCATTTCGGAGAGCCGGCTACGACAAGGAGATCATTTGTCACCTTATTTGTTTATTTTCTATGCGTAGAACCTTTCATATATTCTACTGGATGCTCAACAAAGAGGTCACATTAAAGGAGTTAAAGCAAACATAAGAGAACCCATAATCTCTCGCCTTCTGTACCCAGACGATAACATCCTGTTCATTAAAAACTCTCAGTAAGAGGCCAGATTAATAAAAGACTTCAGTTTTATGAACAGTCGTCTGGACAGAAAATCAACTTTGACAAATCCAGCATTTTCTTTAGCAACAACACTTTTCCAGAGCACTGAAGGATCATTAGCCAGATCTTGGAACTGGAGGAAAAAGAAGACCCAAGTAACTATCTTGGCTTACCATTAGTTGTTGGGAAGGGAAAATTTTCAACTTTCAATTTCGTTCGGAATAAAACGGCAAAATGAATTCAAGTTTGGACTAAGAACTTGTTATCCTTCGGTGGAAGGGAGATCTTTCTGAAATCAGTGGCCCAGACTCTCCCTACCTATGCGATGTCTTGCTACATTCTTCCTGATGGTATTATTGACGACATTACTTCGCATATTTAGAAATACTGGTGGTCAGGGAAACATGATAAATGCGGCTGGGCTATGGTTCCTTGGGATAAAGTTTACACAGCAAAGCGTCTGGGGGGCTAGGTTTTAGAGATCTGAAACTCTTCAACTTAGCACTGATTGGAAATCAAGTATATCAGTTTCTGCATGACTCGATTTCTCTTGCGTATAGAGTGTTCAAGGCCAAATATTTCCCTAATTCGAGTCTCCTTAATGTTGTACGAGGCGACCGAGATAAAGCATCTTATGCATGGACTAGCATTTGTAAAGAAAATGATGCTCTCAAGGAAGGTTTCTTCTGGAGAATCAGTATGGAATGAAAAACAAGAATGTTTTTGGACAGTTGGGGAGACACATCCCCTATCATTTGGTCTGAAACCTACAGAGATAACTTCGAGATCCCGTTCAAATGTACTGGTTTTATGATTCCTAATTTGTCTAGGTGGGACCCTCGAAAAGTGCAAGGAATCCTCACCAGTGTTGTTGCTAATAAGGTTCTTTCTACGCTAATTGCCCCTACTAGTGAGGATCAACTGATTTAGAGTCATCACAATATGGGGGTCTATTCTGCCAAATCATGCTACAACTGACTCCTTTTAAAGCAGAACATTCCGACGGAACCATGTCTAATTTGGAAGAAGCTTGCTAAACTTTCGACTTTACTGAAAATAAAAATCTTTGGTTGGAGGATATGTCATAGAACACTTCCAACTGGTGAGAGAATGAAACAAGCAAAGCTATCTGATGAAATTTGTCCGATGTGCGGGACGAAAATTGGAACATTGTTGCATGCGCTCAATGATTACCCTAAAACCAAAAAGATTCTTCAGCACTCGAGCCTCAACATAGACATTGTTGATTGGCGGGGGAATGGCTGCAAAGACTGGCTTGAATGGACATCTCTTAAAATGGATCTTGAGGGTCTGACAAGATTGGTGGTGTTATTGTGGAACATTTGGAACAAAATGAATAAATTTGTTCATGATGAGGAGCTTCAAGAAGAGAGGGATGTGGTATTGTCAGCGTGGAATCTTTGCTCAGTATTTGCAGCAGTTAGTCATGACACTCGGGTTTGGACACCCATAGAACCGCTCTTCCACCAGCACTTGGAACAAGCCTCCCCCGGGGACTGTTAAGATTAATGTGGATTGCGCATTTAATCCCTAAGATCGTATTGCCGCTATAGGAGTGGTAGCCAGAGACCACTATGGATTAGTCTTAGGGGGAATGTGCAAACAAATTGATCCCCCTTCACTGTTAAATCCACTGAAGCCGAAGCGATTACTGCTGGAATTCGTTTTGCTGTTGAACAAGGTTGGACAAATGTTATTCTTGAAGTGGACGCTATTTCAATTGTCAATCTGATTAATAATCACATGATGGACTTGTAAACCGTGGGATTTCTACTCAACGAAGCCCGGATGCTACTTGATAGAAAGAAGAGTTTTAAAGTTTTCTATGTTAATAGAGTAGCTAATTGAGATACGCACTTGCTTGCGCAATGGGCTATGTCAAGACCCAATCCTTTGTAGTTTTTTTAGGATGAACCTGAATGTATTAAGTCTACTGTCCAATTCTTATTGGACGCTATTGACATCTATTAATACAACTTTCTCTTTAAAAAAAGAAGAAGAAATGAAGGTCTGGAGTTGAAGCAATTGTCAACTATCAAATCATGAAATAACTTTAGATTTACCCTGGTTTTAGTTTTAGCAGTAGTTGTACGACGTTTTATAAAATACTCAGTTGACCATTTAACTATTTAATTTTTTTGCTCTTATCACATTGATCTTTTAATTTTGTCAACCATATCAATTAATTATTTTATTTGTTCAATCAGACAGCTAACCATTAATATTTAACGAAAATGTAGCAGTTAAAAGGATTGATATATTTTTACATTTAGTCCTTAATATTTATATATTATCTCAATTTGGTCATAAATTAATTTTAATTTAATAAATTAACTATTCAATCAAGATTTGACATGTGTCAGCACAAAAGGTGACACGTGTAATCAACTAATTGGATAGAAAATAAAGGTAAACTAATCAGTAGTTTTAGCAGTAGTTGAGCGACATTATTATATAAAAGGGTAAACTACACAGTTGACCACTTAACTATTTAACCCTTTTAATTTTGTCATTGATCTTTTAATTTTGTCAACCACACCACTTAATTATTTAATTTGTTCAATCAGACAACTAGCCATTAATATTTAACGAAAATATTGATGTGGTAGTTAAAAGAATTAATATATTTTTACATTTAGTTCTTAATATTTATATATTCTCTCAAGTTGGTCATAAATTAAATTAAATTTAATAAATTAATCATTCAATCAAGATTTGACATGTGTAGCGTAGGAGCATGACATGTGTTGTTAGTGACACATGTCAATACATTATTGAAGGATTTTTTATTAATTTAAATTTATTTAATTAAATAGATTTTTATCCAATCAAGAGGTGACACGTGTAACCAACCGATTGGATAGAAAATAAAGGGGATAAAATTGCTCTTGGGTGAAATTAAACCTGAGACCAAATGGAAGGATAAAAAACGCCTCAACCAACCACTACACCAAGCATCCCAATGGTTTACTACTTACAACAAATTGTATTTATCCTTTTTAAAGCTTGATAATGGTAAAAGAAAATAGAAATAAAAATAAATTAAAATTAATTTTTTTAATATTTGATTCAAGTTAATCTATTAGTAAATTAATTATTGTTGATTATAAAAAATATTTTTTTATATACTTTACATCAAAATTATTAAAAAAATAAAAATAAATTTAAAAGATGTTAAATTTATATATTGAGAATGTAAAACAAAATATTTTAATAGAATATACTATATATTGAGAATGCAAAAAATTATATATAATCATTGAAAATAAAAATTTAATCTAATTAAAATTATAATTTTTTATTTTAAATATTTTCTTTTAAATTTTGGAAAATAAAGCGAACGATGTTTGGTAGAAAAATAAAGTTCAGACTAGTAATAACTATATATAAAATCATGAAAGTTGTTAACCAGAGCGGGGTTTGTCCTAGTGGTTTGAGTGCATTTACTTATTCTTATGGTCCTAGATTCAATTCTTCCCAAGAGTAATTTTTATCCCTTTTATTTTCTATCCAATAGATTGGTGACACATGTCACCTCTTGATTGGATAGAAAATTATTTAATTAAATAAATTTAGATTAATAAAAAATATACTCCAATCATGTATTGATTGACACGTGTCATACTCCTATGCTGACACATTTCAAATCTTGATTGAATGGTTAATTTATTAAATTAAATTAAATTTATGACCAAATTAAGAGAATATATAAATATTAAGAACTAAATGTAAAAATATATCAATTCTTTTAACTACCACGTCAACATTTCTGTCAAATAGTATGATTAAACAAATTAAATAGTTAAGTAGTGTAATTAATAAAATTGAAAGATCGGTGACAAAAGTATAAGTGCTACATAATTAAGTACTACCTTGCATTTTATAAAATATGTTTTATAAAACACGAGACCCACCAACATTTTGAGATAAAACCATTTAATATTATATAAAATCAATAATAAATGTATAAAATTTGTTTTTCGTAAAATATGAGATTTGACCTCGTTTTGTAAAAACGCAAAGTCATCCTATGTTAATAATTTGTGGATATTTTTTTAACAAATCTGATTTAGGTTATTTCTTAAAAAAAATTGGGTTTTTAATATAATAACACCTAGTTGAGCACTAAAGACATGTTTATCCAGACTTTGCTGTAAAATATTTAACACCTAAATAAATAAAATAGCAATAACAGATCAAGCAACTAATGTCGGTGGCTAATAAAGAAAGACAGGTCAAATTTGGTCAGGGCAGTGTTTGTATAGTCACATAGAGGCTTTACTGATGAGTCCACTCATCTTGCATTATAACCATAAAAAAATAACGCAAAAGATATAAAATTTTACTAACTATTATGCTAAAAGATAGGGAGAAGAACGAGTACAAAGGATAAAACTTTGATGATAAATGATTAACTAATTCTCTTTCCTGCTAAAAGTGCACTCCAACCGTATACAGAACATAAACCCTTTTCCACTACCAGACAAATACTCGGAGGCCGCCACCATTCGTTGTTTCTTTTTTACCATTCTTTAAAAATCATGCAAAAAGGCAGCTCCGATGAAGATCCCATGTTCTCGAATCTCGACTCCAAAACTTCATTACATGGCTACAACATAAAACGAGCAAAAGTGGATAAAAGCAAAAAGGTTACACGAAAAATTATAAATGCAAAATGAAGATGTGATGATTTGGTTTGTGGAACTGTTGATGAAATGGTGAGACATTTATTCCTACTCGAGGAAACCTGTTTTTGTCAAAACTGCATTCCTTACTTTGCTGAGGTCCCTGCCTTTAAGCGTCCTTCCAATTCCTTCACAAACCGAGAATGAAGAAATCTGACTCCTCGCAAGCTTCTTATCTAGCCATTCATGTGGAGGAACCATATCATCATCATCTTCGACATAAAACATACCATCATCGCCATTATCATCAACCCATGTCCCTTTCCTTGATGACGAATCCACGTTTCCATGCTTGCCATATACCTTGGACCAATCAGGGATGTTCAATGGAGCCGATGATTGCTTAGCAATCTTGGTTTCATGCTTTGCTGATAAGCTGCTGCCGTTGCTAACCCTTGGGATCCTTCTTGGTGCGCTTTGGAGCCGCCATGCAGAGGAAGAACTCGAGGAGTAGTCCCTAGGTTTCCTCGGTGAGGGGCTTGAATCTTCCTCTTCCCCATTATAAGACCACATTTCTTCTTCATTGAAATCTCCATGCCAGTCTGCCATGACTTCGTTCCTAAAAAAGAGAAGGGAGAAAAAAAAGATTCAATATTTGAATGTTAATAAGAAGGAAAAAAGTCACAGTGCATATAAATACGAGGGGGGATGTTTATTTATTCAGTTTCATGATGTTTTGTGTTGCTATGCAACTAGATAAATCTGAGTTTATTTTTTGGGAACAAAAAAGGAGGGAAAGAAGAAAGAGAATAATATCAGGAATCTAGCTTGCCTTCGTTTCAATAGCCTCCAAAAACAACCCAGAGCTTTTCAAAGATATCACAAATGGGTGCTTTTTGCTTAACCCCAAAAACCAACCAGAGAAGAGAAGAGAAGCTGTGGGAATACTTCCAAAGAAGATCACAGATTCCAAGAACCTCAAAATAGTACCCTAAATAGCAGAGGAGGAAAAAGACAAGCATAGATGTAAATGAGATCATTTCATCTCTCATTTTCCCCAACTTTTATCCCCTGTGGTCTATTATATTCCAGTCTGATCAAATTAGAAAGTTTAGAAACAAACCATTAGACACTATTCCGTAAATTTACCTCCAATTTCCCATGGTTTCTGTAAAGGCGGGTTTGGCTATGGCAGGTGGCACCCACAGAAAAAGAAGAATAGAGATGGGTTGTACTACAGAGGCATTGAATAAATCCAGGAAGCAAGGCTTATCTCAGAGCATATTTACCAACTAAAGAAACTAGTCAGTTTTGAGAGTGAAGACTGGTATACAAGAACTTGAGTGTGGATTTATAAATATTTGGAAATCAATGAAAAGACTGGGCTGTGATTGGAAAAAAGGTGGAAGAGGAGGATTTGACTGACCAACTTCACTGATTCCCGTAACCTTATCCTCAACTTACACCAGTATCTTAACTCATTCAGCTTTAGCAAAGATAATGATAAAATCCATTTCAAGTGTGAAGGGTATGGAAACTTGAGGTTGAGGCAAATTTTGGTTTCTAGGAGAGGGTGCTTACGGAGTAAAAGCATCTGGTTGGGCGATGGTTGCATTGATAAACGTGGTGGCCTTTGTTTTTGTTGAGCTCAGTATTATGATCATCAATTTTTAACTGAGTCATCCATTTAATATAATCACTACTTCCTTCTTCGATGCTTCCCTGGGTTTTGGGGATATGTGAATGTGAGTGGAAGGGCTCTTATTAACTCAAATCAGGAGCTATAATGTTGGACAATGACCAAAGAGAGATGGTTGAGGATAAGGCAAAAAAAAAAAGTAAAGCTTTTTACCACCTCTTCTGAGTTTCTTGGTAATTCAGTTACTTACGATTAGATCAAATAAACATAATTCATGTTGGATAGGTATTCATGTCCCCTTGAAAAACTTATACTAAATGACAAAAGAAATGATAATAACCAAATTTAACCCATGGAAAATGCTTTATCTCTTAATCATATACCACAAGCATCACATAACTAAAATCAATATACATTTTCACTAACCTGTTATAATGTTCAGCATTAAAATCATGAATCTTAAATTGTATTATATTCTTTTCTGAAGAAAAGATAACATATATTGCTTTAGCCAGAAATGGCATCATCCACTACAAGATGTAAAATGCTATTAAGAGAATCATAATAAATAAACAAAGGCGACCTAAGGTTAAGAGCCGAAACAGCTAATGTGTGTGCCGCCATGTTCGCCAATCGCCGGATTCCACGAATGGTAGGTCGAGGATTGGCATGGTAAGCTTGAACCGTGATCCAAAATGAGTGGACCCCTTTTTTTACTTTACCGTATCATTTCATCGACGTAATTAACAACAGTCAAGAATTTGTAGCTCTGGAGAGTGATACGTATTTCATTTCCCGCCCCCCCCCCCCTAAATTTTGAAGAGAGGCTATTGCTTTATGATACACAAAAATGGATGGAACGGTTTTAAGTGCTAAAACTATGGCAGTAAAAGATAGGTATAATTAAACAATGTACAAAAGCTATTGGAGATGGTAATAATCAGGCATCTTTGCTTAATCGGCTTCTAGTATTTCTTTGCCGCATGGTACAGCTCCATGTAATCAAGCGCAGGCCGGTTCCAAGACCAGTCTTGCTCCATCACCCTCTTAAACAATGAGTAAAACCAGTCCCGGCCATCGTACCAAGCAGAGATTTCCCTAGATTATAAATTAATGATTTGGTAATAAAATGTACAACTCAAATCAATCATATATATTTAAAACATAGATGGTAGGAATGTGTGTGAGCAGGAGGAAACGAGAACAAATGCAGCAAATGCTATGTCTTCCGGAAACTAAATGCAACGAAGGAATGGATGAACAAGTGCACCTACAACAGTGCTGCGAAACTCACCTATCGAGGGCATAATCGACTCCACCACTATCAGCTCCATCGAAATTAAACCATTGGGTTCAAGACCTTGTGCTTCAGCTCTAGCTTTATCGTTGTCCACGTCGAATACAGTATCATACAGTCCTTGAAAAAAAGTAATGGAAACACAACGTCAGTACACTTTGAGATGATCTAACTTCCAAGACCAAAGGCTAAATAAGATTCATGTAAAATAACGTCTCCATTTTTCATCCAAGAAAAACAAAAAATCAATGAAAATCAGACACAATTTGTAAAACATAAGAGAAATCTTGATGTATGTAATTCATAATGAATATGAACTTCAATGCCCCCGTAACAGATCATCCACATATCAATACATCTCCGTAATTAAGTCGTTAGAATAATATCGTTCAGAGGTATCAAAATTATGGACTTAAGATGAGCATGCACCTCCCGTTTTACGAACAACTGGTATGGAGCCATATCTCATTGCTGTCAGTTGTGTCAGTCCACAAAGCTCAAAAATAGAGGGAACCAGAATGAAATCAGCACCGGCATATATATATGTAAAAATAGTCAAATAAGAAAATAAAAAATAAAGAACAGATCAAAACCGCTTGGATTATATTGCAAAGCAAGATATCAGTATGCTGCTTCATAGAAAAAAAATAAATAATAAACTTTAATGGTGCAAACCAAGTGAGAAAGAGGTTCATCTTAGGTCAGAACAAGGCGAGCCCGATCCCCATGAGTTGTACTGATGAAAGCTCCCCACATTTTGTAAACTTATAACGTTCTAAATTATTTTATGTTTTAATCATGGTTAAACTTGATGGATGTGGTGAATGTTTTAAAAAAATGATTAGCCACTTTGGTAATTCGTGTGACATTTTAATCCCCGAGGTTGAATCAAATTAGGGTGTTACATGTATTGTATAAATGAGTGTAAAGCAGCTAAAGTTAGACAATAAAGTTTATTTTTTTGTTTATATATACAAAATCTCGTTATGATATCAGAGAATTGAAACTCTTCGAATTCAGTAGATTCAAGTCGGTTCATCAAGTGATGATCCTAGCAGTGAGTACTACATACATCCTAATGAATCTTCATTAGTCTTGACTTCTGCGATATTGAGTGGGTGTAACTATCATAGTTCGGTCAGATCTATGCGAATGTCCTTGATCTCCAAGAACAAGCTTCATTTCATTGATGGTTCGATTAAGAGACCAAAACGGGAAGATCCCAAGTATCGAGCATGGTTGAAATGTAACAATCTATTGATTTCTTGGTTACAAATAATGTTGAGTTCAGAGATTGGACAAAGTGTGATACAGATAGACTATGCATACGATCTTTGTTTTTCTGCCAATAATTTTTTTCTGTAACAATAATTATAAGTTATAGTTACAAAACATGTCACTCTATAACTTTTGCTTTTGAGTCAACAACTGGAGGAAAACATTTGTAATACCCCAAATTTTTTGCTAGTGACCAAAATGTAAGTCCAAAATGTAAGTTTTGAAAGTTTATTGGTCAAAGTATAAACTTTGTAAAAGTTTAGGGACCAAAAATGAAATTTTTAAAAGTTATATTTGGCCCGTAAATGAATATTTTATTCCAAATTGACATTTTCATGGGAATCAAATTTGATTTGAGATTTGTATTAAAAGCTATAAAGTAGTAAAGTTCGATAAGGATTAGGATAATCGGATCGAATTGGAATTTCACAAAAAATTGAAAGATTATAGAAAAGGGTTAGAAATATTATTTCCATAATTTAGAATGATGAAATTCAACATGGATCAGTGTAATTAAGGTTGATTTTTCATGTTAAGCCAAAAATGTGAAATTTAGTGACTAAATTACAATTTTCAAAAATTGCAAAGGATAAAGTTGGAAAGTTAATTTTTGTTGGTTCATCTTTAACTTTGGAATATTAAAATGGAAGATAATGTAATCTAAAATTGAAATTATCATGTTTCATTAAGGGCAAAATGATAATTTCATATTAATTGAATTTTAAATTCAATTTTATTAAGTTAAGCCAAGTATATTATGATAATTAATAAGAAAAATAAAGAAATTTTCAGCCTTCTTCAAGCTCTCCAATGTGAACCACCATAGCTACATTTCGATAAATCTTGTACGTGCATTGAGAGTTAGTGGTATGATTGGCATGCCATAAGGTAGAGTAATTTTGTATTTTGCACTATAAGTGTGTTATGGTACCTTTGTGTACACATATCTTGTAATATTTGTGTGTTCTGGCACCAATGGTTCATTCTGTTATGGCAGTTACGACTGCATATTATGCACACCTTATTCTGACTTGTGTACCTAGTATTCTCAGTTGTGTACATTAGGTTATCTGTTAATGTTCTGAAATATGCAGGAATGATTGATTCATTGAAAGTAAATCTTTCTTTGAATATTTTTATCTGTGAATATGGAAATGGGCGTTCTGAAATAATAATAATTTTAGGTTTCTGATGAAAGAAATAATTTTTCGGTCTGTTATATGTTCTTATTTTTTTATGAGACATTTTCTGTAAGAAATATTTATTTATTTATGTCAATATGATTTATTTATTATAAATAATGTCTCACTAAGTTGTTACTTAGCATATGAATATTTTCATGCGCAAGTAAAGGAAAAGATCGGTCAGTGGAGTATAGAGTATAGTGGGCATCATTTTTTGCGGATTACACCTATTCCAGTATTAGTACGGTATTTACCGCTTTTGACTTATCTAGTTGGCATGTATATTAAATATATGTTTGTTGCTCTAATACACTAATTTCATAAGTCGGGTTGTATTATATAAATTAGTATAAGTGGTGTGCATGTTATTAGATATTATTAATATTTTGCATGAAAAGTAATTATTAAACTATAGTTATATCATTATTAAAATGAAATTTTAAGAAGGCAAATTTAGGTAGTTTTGTTTTAAATATGAATTAGTATTAAACTGCCAAGTTATTATCTTAAATCAGATATGATTTTAAGATCAAAGTATTAAATTTTATATTAAGTGATTAATAAATTATACGAAAAAGGGCAATTATGAATAAGTTTCAAAAAAGGATTAAAATTTTACCCGTTTTGTTTAGTAAGTGTTTACAAGTTAGTTTACATCTTTAACTCGTAATTAAATATGTTTATGGGTTAAGGGTGTTACAATATTTGTGACTATACATTTTGTCACTATAATTAAAATATATAACTACAAACAAAACTTTCACGAAAAACTTGAATCTTATTATTTGTTGTGATAATTTTTTCTTGTTATAATTACTAAAACTTATAGTCACAAAACTTGTCACTATATGTCATTTTTTTTGCGCAAAAAAAAGAGGAAGCATTTGTGACAAAAAATGGTAACAAAATATATTTTGTGACCATATGCTACACAAATTTGTTAATTGTGACAAAATATTTCAACGATTTTGGTTTTTGTTACAATTATATATATTTTTCTAATTTAATGTGAATCTTATTTTTTTTGTCACAAAAAATTATTAGTAGTGACAAAAATAATTTTGACAAAATTAAATTTGTCACAATAATAGAAATTCTTATAGTGTTGCTGTCAGTCCTATGGTGTAACTGTAAACATGACAAGTTTCATAATTGTCAAATAAATCATCTTTTTATCGGATATTTATGCTAAGAAAGCAATGTAGAGAAGAAGTGTAACATCCCAAACTATGGGTTAGAGACTAAATGGTAAAGTTTCAGAAATTTGGTGATTAAAGTAGAAGAATGGATTAGTTCAATGATTTATATGGGAATAAATCCGAAAAGTTGTTAGTAATTATCAAATGAAGTAGAGGGCAAAATGTTCATTTGACTAACAAATGAATTAAAAATAGATATGATAAGGATATATATGTTAGAGGGGATAAGGATGAAGAGATATTCTCTTCATCATCATCATCATCTTCTTCTTCATGTACGAGAGAGAGAAGAGCCAAGCTTGCAAAGGTAAGATTCCTTGTTAGCTGATTATTTGTTAATTTTAAGAGTGGGTTTTGATCATTAGGTAATACTTAAGTTATGGAAAGCTTAAGTTGTCCTAAAATCAAAAGATAAAGAAGTTATGAAAGATTAAAGAAAATGAGTTTCTTAAGGAAATTCTGGAAAAGAGTTAGTAAGTGAATTTTGAGAAGGAATTTGACTTGTCATCAATCTAATTAAGGAATATGGAGTGTTAGAATTAGATTTAAAACATGTTAAAAATCTAGTATGATTCTTGAAGTTAATAAAGAGGAGAGGATATTAAGGTTAAAGACGAGATAATTGATTATAAATGAGTTTAAACATATATGAAAGTTAGGAATATGAAAGGGGATGAATATGAAGCATTTGAGTGAAGAGTTGATGATTTTCGGGTTCAAAAAGAGGTTCTGGGCAGAGTGCATCGATGCACATTCATAGTGCATCGATGCATCAAGGTTAAAACCCAGAAATTATTTGAAGGTGTATCGATGCATTGGTAGTGCATCGATGCACTCTTTTAAAATAAAAACATCGAATGCAATTCATGCATTGATGCATAAGTAGTGCATCGATGCATACCAGTAATAATACAACATCGAATGCATTTTATGCACCGATGCATCAGTAGTGCATCGATGTATACTTTCATTGAAAGATGAAATTGTCATTTTTCTTAGTCTAAGGAGTGAACCATCAGAGTATATTAGTTATAATACTAATATAGATTTATGTATGATGATGTAGATATAGAACGTGATCCCGTTCCGGATCAATTGAAGGATTATAATCGAATCAAGCAAAGCTAAGGTGAGTGCAATTTAATTTGTACTTATATTATTGAATAAACATTTGGCTTGCGATGAGCCAGTGATGGAGTTACTATAGTAAGAAGTAAATCCTAAAATGTTATTTGATTGGTGATCAATGTTATGATTTGTGTGATTATGAGATATATAAGTTATATGGAAAGTATATGTGAAATAAGATATGAGCTTATATGAATATGTGATATGAATAAAACTATAAGAAATGATTTATGTGAATACATGCATTTGTGATGCGTGTTATATGATATTAGATATATGTTTACACATACATATGGTATGTGACCGAAGAGAATGAACATGTGATTATAAGA